TTGGTGCACGGCAGGAAGGCGCCCGATGCAGGGGCCAGGTGCGGTGTGTGGGGCAGAGGCGACTGCAGGAGAATTTCGGCAGTGGCAGTTCTGGGGGCGAGTCGAAACTTTCCCTATGGGGGTTATGTTCACCCATTTGCTACTCAGCCCTCCTCTGCTTTCAAAAGCATGCTGCGAGTGCTAGGATAAAACCTTCAACCCAGCTGTCTCTCAGCTACCAAAATATCTCCTTTGCCCCTTGACCAGCTGTCAAAACTTTCCTGGCCTTCCTAGAACAAGCGTCTTGGGGAATGTTTCTCTTGGCCAGTGAGAAATCGGAGGGATGCTCTGGAGATGACTAGCAGGACTGCATATTCGATGCCCAGTGCCTGTCCTAAGCCAGCTCCTAAACAGCTTTCCATCACCTTGGTAATGCTTCCTGCTTGGTGTTCTCTGTAGGATGAAATTGTGGTTCAAGGAAGAAAGTATTTCAGAGTAAAAAAATTGTGCAACTCAGGAGCCAAGAAAAAAAAAGCCTTAATTATTCAACTAGTTTAGAACACTTGAAAGTATCCCTAAAAATAGGTGAGAGGGAGGTTTGTCAGCTACAAAGAGATTATCCTGCAGTAGTATTGCTTGTCTTATTTTATGATGATGCTACAGAATACAGTCCCTCAGGTAGCATCATTAATGTTTATGAATGAACCCCTTGTTTTATGTTTTTGGTTTTAGAAAGTAGAAATAGGGCAAGAGGCTAATAAGACTGGTTTTACCATATACGCTTTGGAAAGCCCAAGGACACGGGTGTAAGGTCTCCATAAGCATATGGATAACAATTGGATTTTTGGCGCTTGCTAGACTGGCTGAGATGTACCCTAAGGGAGAAATCCAGCCAGGACTTTGGCTAAAATCCTGGGTGAAATTCTGCACACTTCCCAGTGGATCTGTCAGCAGGAGGTTGGCACTCTGTGTTTCATCAGTCGTTTTGTTTTGATCTCTTCCGGCAAAGGCAACCTGTGACCATATGTTGTTATAGCCATAAGCACTTCCACAGGGCAGTATCTGGTAAACCCTGCTGCCTGACAGCGTCTCAGCCCAGGGTGGAGGCTTCTTTTCACTATCTGTTCTTTAAAGAGGGCAACTGTTTCTTCTGGCTATCATAATAGTGTGGCAGTTACGCCCAGCCCATAACAGTATGGGGTGGTTTCTGAGTCTTACCACTCCATCCTTAAAAATAACAGCTCTTTTTTCCGAGCCAACCAACAGTTGTGGTCAGCCACTAATACCAGTTTAACCATTTGGCAGCTGCCCTATAGGAAATAGCTCTTTCAAGAGAGCCAAAGGAGCCTGTGGCCCCAAAGCCGCGCTGGGCTGGTTTCAGTCAGCAGAGCGTGTTTACGGATTTCCTTGTGTGCAACCAGCCTCTTTAATAACAACCAAATCCTGGAAAGTTAATACCAAACAAATTGTGGAAGTATGTTAGAAAGAGTAACTCAAGTTGATCCTTTCGGCGTTTTATTTCCTGAACGAGCGGGCAAAGCTCCGTTCCTCCCCACCAACGTGCAGCTTCTCGCTCTGTAGTTCCTTTTCCATCCATCGCGTGTTGGGACTGTCAGCAGAGTTTACTTTGGGCTCAGTTCCCTCCCTGCTACGCGCAGAGTACCAGCCGGCTCTACAAACAGCGCGCTGCGACTGGAACCGCCCCTTACACGGCTTTAGGGCAGAAATCAGCAATAAAGGGTCAGTGCTACTGTCGCACGGGGTGCTGCCCCAAATCCCTGTGGCTCCGCTGCACTGGCTGCGGGGCTGACTCTCCGGCGGGGCAGCGGCGTGCGCGGCGGGTGAAGCCCCCCGGGGGTCCCGCTACGGTCCGGGGGTCC